CAAAACCTTTCTTTTATTGTTATGTATAACAAAAACAGCAAGCCCACCTCCTTTCTTCTTACCACTACTGATGCTGTCCCTGTCTGCCCGAACAGTATGGAAGCCTTCCAAGGATGTGTTATCGTTGGGAATGTCCTGGTGCATCCATGATTTAGTGAAAGACATAAGACTACACTCCTGGTATTCCCTCTGACTCCGTACAAGCACTGAGAGCTCATCAATTTTATTTATTATTTATTTATCGTATCATTTCCCATAAGATAGACTGCAGACATGGTTTATACCTCCTCCTTGCTTCGAGCCTCCGCTGTCTCACCGTCTCCTTCTTCCTTCTCTTCTGTCCTTGACCTCTGCATCCCCGATGTGTTTTTCTCCAAATTTCAGCTGGTACGTCTGCAGGTCTGGCCAGCGAGTAAACAGTCCATGCAGTATATAGGTGTTGTCCCGTTCCTCGACAAAAGTAGCACTTCTGCGTCCACCAGCAGAACAGAAACTCTCTCAATCCACATGATTGAGGGAAAGATAATAAACAGATAAAAGTACAAGTAAGGAAAAAAAGCTAAACTAATGAGAAAAAGCAGGACTAACTGTAACAGGCTACATGCTGGTTGGCGCATGCGCACTATTATATTATAGTATAATAGACCTTACTACTCTATTAAATGAAAAGAAGAAATTACACATCTATGAAACCTGCAGCTACTGTCTTTATTTAAAGTTGTAAGTATTTAAAGTCCATGTTACCGGGTTGTAGAGTTCTTTGTTAGTGTAATGGATTTAAAACTGTTTAAATCTTCAGTTTTATCTCAAAGGACAACCTGATATTTCTTCCAGTTTATATTTAACTAACTGCAACAATATTTTCAGTCACAATTACGTTATCAAGGGGTGGCAATACATTCTTAACTTTTAGAACAGGAGGAAGACGTTATGCATTGTATCTTTTTAAATACTGATAATGACACTAATCACAATGTATTTTAATATCTTTGATCCTTGTACTCTTTGAAACCTCTCTGTTTTGAAACCTCTCTATCTGAAACCAAGTCAGCATGAAATCAAATTAGGGATGAGGCAATTGGGTTTTTGTTTGTTTGGTTGTTGTTGTTTTTTTTTGGTTAAGAAATAAGTTGTTTCCTGATTTTGCAAGTATACAAATGTAAGAGTATATAAACACTAGTCTCAGAGCTTTTCATCACCTCTAAGGTGGAAGGCTGAAGCTAGTGGCTCACACTGAAAAGAAAGAAGACCTTCTACAAAAGGTCTGGTACAAACTCTTAAATTATCTTATCTCCTTTATTTAAAGAATTGACAGTAGTTATTGTCTTCTGTTTTTTCACAGAGACACCATGAAGCTCCTGGTTCTGGCTGCACTTCTTTGTGGATCGATGGTTCTGACCACTGCTAGTGAGTATTGCAGTATAATGTAAAGTATGTAAATATATGTCAGTATGTACGTGTTTAAATAATTCGTCACCATCTAATGTTTTAATTTGTTCATTTCATCCACATGAAGATGTCGGCAGTGGTGCAGGAGGTTTAATTCCAACAGGTCAGTGGACATTTCCATATTTTCACCAAAGTTAATCACATTTATAAAAAAAAAAGGAAAGCAATTGTGTTATGCATGATGAGTTTATAATAAGGAGGATATCTTTTAAGGAAACGCAGGTCAACAAAAAAATATTTTAAAATATATAATTATATATAATACAGCAAGAGAGAGGAAGAGATATTATGAAATTTAAATTGCACATAGAAATAGAGTCCCAAAAAAAGAAAATAAAAACAGTCACAAGCCAGTTCAAAGACCTTTTAGATACATTAAAGTTGTTCATTTAGTATAAGTTGTATAACTATAAATACCATATTGGTGTGTCATTTTTCGGTTTAACAATTGCCTAAGTTTGAGCACAAGTCACATACCAGAAATGCCAGCCTAATATCAGCCTCATATCAGCCCTTCTGGCTATCAAAAAGTCGAAAGTTTAAATCCAAAGGTGACCATACTTTGCCACCATGCCCCCTCAGCTTTACCAGGACCAGAGATACTTGCAGATTCAGTTGCTAAAACACATTTCCATTGACTTTTTTTAAGTGATCATGTTTTTTTCTGTTCAGTTCTCTTTGTTATTGATTTTATGATTATTCCTATATTTATAATTTTTGATGAAACTTTGTGTTTGGAAATTTTACTGCCTATTACTAGAGTGAAAAGATTAATAACTACTAAAAGAAGATTGCAGCTGCATACATATAATTACAATTTATAACTGTAAGGGAATCAAAATGCCCTGCACATTTTCAGTCACTTAAACTACATAATATTTAATTGTCGAGGTGATATTTGTTTGTTTGTTTGTTTTTTTCAATATTCCATATGTCGTGATTGAAAATAAAACAAAATATAATATCAGCTGGAGACACATGTACATACAGCTATTTATTTGTCACTAGCAAGGAGTTACCGGTTCAACATGTCCTCTGGTTGTCCTCATGGTTGGTCTTATTTCAATCATCGCTGTTTTGTCTACGTTCCAAGATCCATGAGTTGGGGTCAAGCTGAGGTAAGTTTCTCTGATTTGTATTGTCTTCAAAACTTGATTAAAACACATCTAGCCTAGTTGTGACTTTGAAAACCTCTCTGTGTAACTCTTTACTGAAGAGAAACTGCAAGTCAATGGGTGGACACCTTGCATCTGTGCACAGCAGCAACGAGTACCGTCACATTCAGAAGCTCACTAGTGATCATGACTACATGGAAACTTGGATTGGAGGAACTTATGAATTCGAGGTACCTTTTTTTTTATCAATACCTTTCTGTTTCTCTATGACAGATATGTCATTAATGAAAATACAGAAGCCACTGACAGATAAAAGCAGCTTAAATAATATTATGAATAATATGGGAGATTTGCCAGCTGGTTACATTCGTTATGTCAATTAAATAAAGCTGATTTGACAAGACTTTGGCTGGGCATGATCTTTAGGCCCGCCTGAACTGATGCTACCAATCTCTGTCTTCTAGGAAAAAGTTTGGCTGTGGAGTGATGGGAGCTCTTTTCACTATACACACTGGTGCCCAGGAGAGCCTAGTGGTGGCAACCAGAATTGTCTCCAGATAAATTATACCCGTAATTCAGAGCTTAATATTTAACATGAATACTTAATATGTGAATGATTTTAAATGAATTTACTAATTTCTGTTTTTGAACTTTGCAGCTTCCAAGTGTTGGGATGATCTGGGGTGTGGCTTACATCTGCCATCTGTCTGTGCCAAGGAAAAATCAACACTCCTCGGCTGACACTGAAGCATGAAACTCCCATAAAAACACAAACTGATGTATAATAGTGTTTGTGTTATGCTTGCTCCTTCTTCTTTCATTTTCTAGTTACATTTTTTTCCCTTCCTTGGTAGCACCCAATCTAAACATCCAAATGACAAATCAACAAAAACTGCATTGTCTTTTAGGTCTTGTGTCTTTAACAAGAGCAGACTAATTGTGTTACCACAGCATTGATCTTACAAAACTGTTGCTTCTTCTGTTTATCTCTTTATTTTTGCTGTTTTATGCAACATTAAAGCTATCAGTCAAGCATCTATCTGTGTTACATCTCTTGTGTTAAGGCATATACATATTCAGCAGTCATAATATGTATGTATTAAAACTGGGGAATTTAATATTTATCTGCATTTGCTGGTTCTATTATCAGTCTTAATTAGATGTCCTTCTACTCGAAGACTTTGGACAATTAAAAAAATATGTTTACATGGGCATGACAGTTTGATCACCTTTTTGACCACTTTGTGGCTTGTATCAACAGTATTCCTAATAGAACAGCCACTTTTTAGGTGTCTCTGTACAGTTGAAGTAAGGTGAAACAAATAGGAGTCTCTTCCTCTCTCTCTTCAAAAAAAAAAAAAAAATCCCCTCGCTTCTGTGGATGGTCTTTATCCTTCAAGCTTGGGTTCTCTACCAGATGCCTGGGAGCTTGAGAGTATCTCAGCTGTTCCTAGGAATGGGCTCTTCTGGACAGGGATTTCTGATGTTGTTCCTGGGATTTGCTGGAGCCACTTGGCTAGTTTGGAAGTCATTGCTCCGAGTGCTCCGATTATCACTGGGACCACTGTTACCTTCACCCTCCACATCTTCTCGAGCTCTTGGTATTTCTCCAGCTTCTCATATTCCTTCATCTTCATGTCTGTGTCATTCGATTCACTACATCTATCACTACGGCCGTCTTCTTCTGTTTGTCTACCACCACTATGTCTGGTTGGTTAGCCACCACCATTTTGTCCGTCTGGAAGTCCCACAGGATCTTAGCTCGGTCATTCTCCACCACCCTAGGGCGTGTCTCCTATTTTGACCTCGGGACTTCAAGGCCCTACTGTATCCAGGCCACTAGGGTATACTATGCTGGCCATTTGGTTATGACGTTCCATGTATGCCCTGCCTGCTAGCATCTTGTATCCTGCTGTTATGTGCTGCATTGTCTCAGGGGCATCTCTGTCTCTCTCTCTCTGTGCAAGCTTCAATATCTGTGAGCACACCCCACTTTTCAGTTATTTATTTGTAAAAAATGTTTGGA